AAAAATAATATAAATTTTTATTAAGTTTACTTTAATACCTTTAATAATTAAAATAAAACTAAAGAACTTTACTTTATTTTAATAAAAAAAGCACTTTAAGGGTTTTATATATAATTTAATATCTTTTATTTATTTTAAGATTTATTTAAAGTATTTAATATATTTTTCTTTTATTTTTAAGAATATTAAAATATTATTTAAATAAATAATATAAATTATATCTATAAGACCTTAAAGGGCCTAATAAATATAATATTAAAATATAGTAAATATAATAGCTAGTTTAAATAGTATTACTATATACTTAAAGTAATTATAATAGGTTTAAAAGGTAATTTTCTATTTATCCCCTTTTTAAATATAAATTTAGTAATATATATCTTTAATATTAAATTTAAAAAAATACTTTACTTTTTAAATATAATCTATAATCTCTAAAATTAAAGGTAAAAAGTAATAATTCTTAATAGTAATAGTATTTAAGCTATAGTAATCTATATAGAGGTAAAAACCTCTATTTTTTTAAAAAATAAAAAAAATAAAGGATTTAATTAAGCTTTTAAAAGGGTAAATTTATTTAGTTTTTAGGTTTTTTTAAATATACTTATAGAATTCCTTAAATTCTGCCTATAAAAGAGGGTAAATAAGGCTATATAAAGGCTTTTTCCCTTTAATTAAATTAATAATATAATCTATTTTCTTAAAGTTAGGTATTTTTATTGCCTTATTATAGCTAAAGACCTTAATATAAGCTTTTAGTTTATAAAAAATGCCTTTAAGTTAATTAAGTTTTTAAGGTTTTTTATTAAAAAGTAAGTAAGGTTTTTGAATAATAATAATAATAAAGATCTTAACTTTATTATAGGTTTTCTTTAAAAATTAATAAAATTTAAAGAATTTAAGGCCTTTATAATACTCTTTAAATTACTATTTCCTTATTTTAAAGTTAGCTATAATTTAAAGGTCTTTTAAAGTAATAATAAAAAGAAGTATTAATTTATTTTAATTTTATTTATTAATATTTATTAAGTTTTATATAGTTTTATATATTTACTTTTAGTAATCTATTAAAGTTAAGATTACTTTTTAATATTTTATAATTTTTAATTAAATATTATTTACTTTTTAAAGAGAAATATTAATATCTTTTAGTTATTAAAATCCCTAAAATCTTATAAAGGTTTTATTAATAGTATTTATCTCTATATTATAATTAAGGTAAGCCTATACTTTAATAGTCTTATAGCTTTAAGCCTTAATTATAATTAAAATCCTTCTCTTAAAATAGATTTAAAGTCTATTTTAATTATAAATTAAAATTATTTTAAAGGTATTAATTAAAAATTAATTTATATCTTTAATTATATTTAGGTTTTTAATTTCTTTATTTAATTTATCTTTTTAAGTTTAAAATAGTTTTTTAAATAATAACTTTTTTTTATAATAATTATAGTATTTTATAAAATTTAAAATTTTTTTTTTTTAAATTAATAATAAAAAAGTAATTTAAATTACTTTCTTAAGGTTATTAATATAAATATAATTTAAGTAGTTTTTAAGGTTAATAAGGTTTCTTTTTTAATAATAAGGAATTTAATAGGTTTTTTATATATTTATTCTTTTAATTTAAAGTATTTTAAAGTTATTATATTAATTAAATAAATTCCTTTTTAATTTTAAAAAGATTAATATCTCTTTAAAAGGCTATAATATTTTAAAATATAAGTAAAAGTTTAATATAATATTAATAAACTCTTATAGCTATATTAAGCTTATAAAGGAAATAGTCTTTAATAAAAATAAAATACTTATAGAAATCTTAAGGGAATTAATTAAGTTATTACTTAATGCTTTTTAGTTATATAGTTATAAGTATTTAGTAATTCTTTCCATTTTTTATAAAGGTAAAGGACTATTCTTTTAATACTTTTTATTTTTTTTTTTAAATTTTCTTTTTTCTTTCTATTTATTTATTTAAATAGCCTAACTATATAAGCCTAGTATTTAATATTATATTATTATAATTAAATAAAATATAGCTTTTATTAATATAGTATTATTTTTAAGTGCCTTTAAAGCTTTAATTTATATTATTTAATTATTTATCTTATTTTTAAAAAGCAATTAAGTATTTAAAGATAATAATATTTTTAAGTTTTATTTCTTTATTACTACTAAAAGTAAAGCTATTTTTTAATTAGTATTATTTTAATAAGGTATTATTACTTATTTATAATATATCTTTAATATTAAAGTTAAGTAGTTATATAAATAGTTTATTCCCTCTTTAGGTTTTAAGGGGGTTTTATAATCTATCTTTATTCTCTTTAAGCTATTATTCTAGCTTATTTTACTACTATTAAAGAATAAGCTCTTTTTTTAACTATTTAATCCTAACTTTTAAGGCATTAATATATATAACATAGGTAATATAACTAATTATATAGGTTACTATTTAGGAGGATCTTTTATTACTATTTTAGGTAAAGTTACTATTAATTTCTAAAGGATTTACTAATAGCTTATTAGGTTTTATATTAACTATAGTAGTTCTTTATAGGTTTTACTATTATATTTAAATAGCTTAAGTAAAAGCTTTAGAATTATTATAGTAAGTTAGTAATAACTAAATAGATATAATAGTATTATATTAACTAAAGCTTAAAGAAGTAGGATTTCTATTTAAGGGATTTCTATAGTAAATTTAAAGAGGTCTTAAACTTATATATTAAGGAAATTAATTAATCTTATTACTAAATTGCTATTACAGTTAGCTTTAAATATAATATAAAAGGTAAAAGAAAATTTAATTTTAAAAATATAAGTTATAAAGTATTTAATTAAATATTTGATTTTTTAACTATAAGCCTTTTTTTAGTGGCTTAAAGTACTTAGTATTAAAAGGTTAAAGTAAATAAAATATATAAATAGATATATAAAGTATAATAACTTTATTTTCTTTATAATATTTTTTAAAATTAGCTAGATAATCGCTTTTATAACTATTAAGAATTAAAAGATAATAAAAATTAATTAAAATACTTTAATTACTTAAAATTTAGCTTATTATTTATTTATTCTAGCTTATTATAATAACTTAATTTAATAAAAGGTTATATTTTTAATATTAATTAATAAGGTAATATTAGCCTATATTAATAATAAATAATATAATTAATTAACCTTTTATATTAATTACCTTAATTATAGTAATCTATTTTCGGTTTTTAGGCTATATTAATTTTAGTCTTTTTTATATTTTTAAATCTATAATAGCTAGAATAGCTATAATAAGGCCTATTATAAAGCCAGTTTTATTAAAGTTTTAAATATTATTTAATTAAATACTATATTTTATAATTATATTTTATATAAAACTAAATTAACGATAAATAATAGTTAAATCTTTATATTTAGCTTTTTAATAATTATATCTTTAAAATAAATATATTTTTAGCTTTAGTTATTACTTTATAAAGTTATAAGCCTAGCACTTATTAATAGGTAATATATTACAGTTAGCTAGTAGGGAAATAGCTATTTTTTCTATAAAATATAATTATAAAAGAAATCCTTATAAGTCTAAATTAAGAATAAATTAAACTATTATTTACTCTTTTAGGTTAAATAGTTTTTATAACTTTAAAATTTAATTGCTTTATAATTAAATACTATTTCTTTAGTTATAGAGGGTATTATATTTAACCTTATATATAGTAGTAATATATTAAAGATATAATTTTAGGTTATTTTAAAGGGCTTAAAGAGCAAAAAGAATTCTAGCCTTATTTAAAGGTTATAATATAATAGGTAGTTAAGAAGTATTTAATTAAATAGAAATAATATAAAATAAGGGATTTTTAGTTAGTATATTTATCTAATTAGTATATTTATTAATTATATTATACTTAAGAGATATATAAATTAAATAAGCTTAACTTAACTATATTTATATTAAATAGTAATTATTTAGCCTATTTATTATAACCTAATAGGACATAGTGCTTATATTATATATATCTTAAGTATAAAGTTAATTTAGGGCCGCAGCCCCTTCAGTAATCTGATAAACGCTTGGATGCTTGTCCCCTAATCTCTCGCTATATGGAGCACATGACTTTCACCTGTAAATTCGGACCGACTTCAGAGAAAGAGTTAGCATAATGTCCCTAGAGCCAAGCAAGCACTACTATTCCGAGGATGATTTAGTCTGTCTGGTCGTGTCGTAAGTACCTGTGTGCCGAAACGTCAGGAGCGCTGGCCGAGCCTATGGGCAGAATCCTACGCTGACAGAACGTCTTTCTAGCCGCTGAGCCCCTGGGCTGACTACGATACTGGCCACTGTTAAGGGCGGGCCCTATGAAGCTTGCTCTACTAAGCGGAACAAGTTCACTTATTCGTTAAATTTCATAGCTGCCCAATAGCAAAGCGCGGATGAATGACTCCGAGAGTTTCTTCTACTAAAGTACTAATGAAGGGCTATGCACACTTGTAAAGTGACAGAGCTTATGAGGCCTAGAAGAACAGATGTGCTAGTGATAGATAAAACCAAAGACTTGATTATGTAAAGTCTAAAAAAGTTCGACGCAAGAACCACGGTTCTTCGTACTCAAGGGCGCCTAAGAAATTTATGGAAGATCAACGTAACCTACAGCGCGGAATAACTCACTTCAAGCGCTCCACCGAATACAACATTGAGTACAATGTGACCTTGTTTCGCCCAAGCGACACCTCCCAACTACAATTCAGTTCTGTAATTCCATTGACAGGCAACAATGAGTATCACTTCATACATTATATTCGAAGTTATTGAACAACTCGCCGATGCAATATATGGTGACCTCCCTTTCCACTATCTACCAATATGAGTAACTCTAGATTGTAACAGACACGACACGCGCATCGCACGCTTCGTAACATATGCTACTTCTTGGCAGGAGAACCTCGCCTGCTTCCTTCAGTCGCAGTACGTGTGTCTCGAATGTTTGCTGAGGTCATGATCACATGAACATTCCTTCTAGACCAATAGTGAGCAGTCGGGATCCTTCGATCTCCCCAGCCCTAGCTTTCAACTCCTCGACGTCCCAGTTTGCCCAAACGAGCTTTCCTTTCAAAAACGCAGCTTCTCCGGACGCGAGCCAGACTACTGACTGCGCAGGCAGTTCCACTTTTTGCAACAATATTAGCGTCTTGTCCTATTAAACAACGATGGAAGTCACCCGTGCGGTAATATGCCTGAGCCGCTGTACGGGATATTGCACCATACCTTCATCTTGACCCTTGACGTCTGAATCAGGGCCCCCTATCTCTGTGGTGACCATGCCTGGATGTAGATGGACGACGTGGACGTGCGGATTCTCAATGCCGACGTAATCGACTATCCTGGTCTGGGCCGCCTTGGCTGCCGTGTACAAACCCATGGAAGCCATTGGCTGAATATGTACCAGACAAGCTGTGATATTGATGAGAATCGGTTTGGGCCCAGCATGTGACAAGAACACCCGTACCGCGTTGAATGTCGTCAGAACGTTCGTCTCAATGACCTTGCTAAGATGATCGAAAGGGGCGTCGACCACGGCGCCAGGCGGGCAGATAGCCCCTGCATTATTGACCAAGATATCGATCTTACCCACCTGCTCGACGATATTATCAAACGCCTTCTCAACCTGCGTAGGAATCGAAACGTCGGCAACCTCGTACAAGACAATGGCGTTTTTCATAGAAGCCTGTGAGATGGCTGCTTTGCTGCTTTGCAATCTGTCTAGCCGTCGTCCGATGATGGAAATGCTCTTCGCTCCAGCCTTAGCAAAAGCAATTGCGGTAGCTTTCCCGATGCCAGTCCCGCCTCCTGTAACTACGACGCTTCTTCCATTCATGGAGAGCTCCGGTCGTTGGATAGAAATCGCTTCGTAAGGACTACTGTGCCAATTCTTGGTAAAGGACACCCACTGAGGAGCTTCTAGGTTGCCCATTATGGCTGAGTTATCTTCGCTTTCACAAGTCGAGACTCAGATAAAGCAGGTAGAGGTGGAATTGACAATGGGCAAGGTTTCCAGAACCTAAGGGATGGAGGATTGATGATTAAACTTGGACTTTGCATGTCGGAAATCAAGGGCGTCGCATTCGTCTAAATACACTCACAAAAGCACAGTACCATAAAACCAATGGATCGAACTGCTTGATAATGGATTGACCTGCTTGGTAATGCAACGGTCCGTTCTTTAAGATACTCGGTCGATTTCATGCGAGATGCTGCTTGTTTTTGACCATATTGCCGCGAGGCTTCGGCCGAATCGCGGCCGAAATATACAAAGACGGAGTTAAGATTTCGCTTAGGCGAGGCGGCTTATCCGCATATGAGTCTGTGCTGTGTATAAATTAGAGCTAGGTCATACTGCCACTTCCAGATTCTCCATCCATCACCAATCAAGACCATTTGCACCACAATTCAGGAAAGTACTTCAACAGAAAAGAATTATCATGTCACTGAAACATGCCAAGGATCAGCCTCAAGGCTTCGTCAATTACATCAGAAGCGTCGCCATTGTTGGGGTGAGTTTTCGTCTGTGGAGCACGCAAGATCTACTTGCGTATCTCACAATGTGTACTGTGTACTATTATTTCTAGATCACTAATATTGATCAGGCAAGCGGCCAACTGGGCCAACATCTGTTAGAGCATCTTCTCAAAGGAGGGAAGCATTCATTAACAGCTTTGACACGCAAAGACAGTGATGCCACGTTTCCCGCCGGCGTCAATGTCGCAAAGGTCGATTACAATGATGAAGCGTCACTTGTTTCAACGCTCAAGGGCCATGACTCTCTAGTTATCACCCTCGCTTTCACTCCAGATATGGGTGAGATACACAGCAAGATTGTACGTGCAGCAGTCAAAGCGGGAGTACTGTACCTCATACCAAACGCATTCACAACGGATGTTGTACTGGACAATCAGTCCGTTGGGGATGAAATCGGCGTGGGTACCTTCATTCGGAAACTCCTCAAAGATATTGACTCGATCGGGTCGATATCGTGGACCCTGTTGGTCACAGGGCTTTGGTACGAGTTTAGTGTAGCGAGCCCTTCAGATTGGCTGGGGTTTGATCTGAAGGGACGCAAGGTGCAGATGTTCGATGATGGCCGGCGTCAAATCAATATGAGTACGTGGCCACAGTTAGGGCGAGCTGTGGCTGCTTTCCTGAGTATGAAGAAGATGCCTGACGATGACAAAGACTTCTCGACAACCCTAGAAGTATTTCACAAAAAGCCTCTGTACGTTTCGAGCTTTCTTATCAACCAGCGCGAGATATTAGACAGTATCGAGCGCGTCACCCATACCACAGACCTCGACTGGGATATTACATACGAATCTACCTCCGAGCGGGTTGCGACTGGTAGAGACCAATTCTCCAAAGGCAACCACCGCGGAATGGCAAAAGCGTACTACGCTCGACTACACTACCCTGGACGCGAAGCAATCTATGAGCACAAATTGCACAACGACGTGCTTGGAGTGCCAAAGGAGAACGTCGATGATGCGACCATGGCAGCTCTGGATATGTCCCAGCAAGGATGGTCGCCGGATGGCCAGTAGATATCCAACGGCGGGAAAATAGCACCAAGTCTATTTTGGTCGATGTTACTAGGGGTCGGGTGGTGTCTACGATAGTGAGGGAGGGTGTAGATATAGGTGATTATAACGTCATGGTTTCATATACTGGTCAATCAGACATGGCAGACACGATATCATAGTTCATACAACCGGTTGACATTAGCTTCTGTGCTTGTAATTATGAACGTAGTTTGTCGACCGTAATAGTAGTGCATTTTATCATAATATTTCATGAATTATGAATTATCTGGTCTTGGTTTCACTTGAATATCATGAATGTTGTTTTTATCATATTGGGTTTGATTGAACTTAACTTATCTATAAGCTGTTGTGACCCGCTCGCTTCCGGCCGGACGGTGTTGGGTGGGAGGCGACGGACAACCGTTTCTTGTTTTCCCCGCCAAAAGATCAGTAGACTTCCTGACTCTTTGGGCTTGGTTTCATCAGTCCTGGAGTCATAACATGTCAATTACCTGCCATACGTGCCTGGAGTAGAGGGAGAGAGAAGAAGTCCACGTCATCCAATCTGTCAGCGTTGTGGGACACCGACGACACTCGGCCTAGAATCATGACATTTGTCCGACGAGACCTACCACTCTCGGTAGACTAGATTCAGCCCTTTCACCGTGGTTTCCGTCGAGCTAAGAGACTGTACCAGCGAAGTTTTATCCACAGCTTCACCGATAGCAGCGCTGTTTTCAACGGCTTTCGGTAGCCGAAGTCTCTAGAACCTTTCTAGCCCCCCACCGCTACGGGTCGACGATACGACAGAAGTAGTGCACCGGTCAATAGATCTATATAACACGAGCCATGACCATAATTAAGATCCAGCAATTACTTTGAAATCGGCTGGACAACAACTAGAAATAGACTGCCGCCATATTTGCTACGAAGTATCATTCGTACAGTATCTCGTCAGAGACCTTCCCTTCATTTCCACTCACACCATAGCCTTACTAGCAAAAAAAATCAAAGTTCAGCCATAGCTTCTTAACATTTAGCGTGGATATTATTAACAGTTAGGAGGCTTAATCCTCAGACTCTTGGGCTCGGACTCTTGGGCTCGGACTCTTGAGCTCGGACTCTTGAGCTCGGACTCTTGGGGTCTGAAAACGTTATAGGATTTAGTCAGCTTTACATTCCCCCGCTCTGGCATAGGTGGCTTATACGGAGGTGTAGTGGATTTGAACTGCATCTAAGTTACCTCGATTGTCCTGGACCTCAATGGCTAGCTTGCGTTCGCTCAGAATTTCTGGAAAGCCCGTTGGGCGTGGGCGTAGAACTTGTCACCGAAGCTACAGATTTCATACACCACCACGGAATCGTAAAGTGATACGCGTAGCCCCTACTCTGAATGATGGGTTTATAAGCTCGGCACTTGGAAACCAGTACAACTATATTGGTAGAAAGGATTAACAGCATCCTTCGACTAGTATTTGCGGGCTCAGATTTGGGCGCATGATAAACAGCATGAACAAATCACCTGTTACGTACAACGTGGATCTATTTATAGTTGAAACAATTTGTAACTAGTAAGTATTTTTGCACGAAAGAAGCGCCTGAAGGAAGGCTAGAAGAGCCTTGTATTTCGACAAAGAGAATTATGCATTGAGCCAAATGTAGCACCAATGATCGCTCCAACAAAGTTTCCGTGCTCAGTCAATCAGAGGAAAGGGTTCCCTCACTCACACGATTTGACTCGTGATATTTGGTGATATCGGCAATGGGGCGCAATTTGTCTTATGCTCGGCTATCCCTTTCCGTCTAAGATAGCATATGAGGGCGATATAAAACCGCCATGTACTTTTCGTATACAATCATAATGCTATAGACATGACATGAAAAGCAATATGCTAAACGTCATTCGAGTTTATTCCGCATTCTCTGTTAATTTAAATTTGCCTCACAGCCGCTCGAAGCGATATGATCAACCCCGGCGGTTGAGGATTGCGTGGTATTGATTGATTGACTCGGAAAATATTTATGGAGACGCCACCTACGTAGCCTTGTTTGGATTTTCGTTTCATCGAGACGTGGTTGTTAATTGCGTCGACATCTTACCACCATGTTATGCCGAAGGATCACTCCCTACTGACGCGGCTTAGCACGCACTGTGTCATGCTGACCCTCTGTTGTCATCGAACACAGAAGGGATGTTTAGTGCTGATAGGATTTAGTGCATTTCTGATCGCATGACTCCTAGTCTTATAAATGTAGCACCAAGTAACTTATTTAAATAAGGTGTTGTATCTGAGGAAACTATAAGAAGGGGTCGAGAGGCTTTTAGTTTAATCGAATTTAAAGCACTTCGGAGCTATCACTTTCTCCCTATCTGATTGTCTATACTACCCGGTAAAGGATATTCTCCACTATGAAGTTCATCACCATCCTTTCTTCGGCCACGGTTGTCACTACCGTCAATGCTGGCTGTTACACTGGGGGCGAGTCTTTCAATGACAAAGCATCGGCTTACGACTGGGCTAACAAGCTCTGCTATGGGTACAAGTATACCAAAGACGGCGTTGAGTATACAGTAGGCCCCAAGCTGGCCGGAACATTCGGAGCCGAAAGCACGGTTTCTGGCTCCAAGGCTAGCTGTGTCGATAGCAATAACCAGAAGCTGGAGTTTTTCATCGACCATATACAAGACGGCTCCAGAGTTCTTGGAGGGGATGAGTGTTACGATGGCCTCCAGAAAGAGATCAGCTGCGAGCATGGCGGCCAATCGGACTATACCAACTGGAGCTATAAGTAAGTACTGCCCCTATTTGAAATCCATCGGAGGCTAATCTGACATTGATATAGAGTTGATCCTAATGCTGGAACATGCTAGGCAAAATGACCTCGCATCTTCGATTTGGGAGACTTACTTGGAGACTTCGATATGGGTTCAGGGTGGAGGGCAATGTGACAGAGCCTATACGGAAGTCTGACAAAACCAACAAACATCTAGCACATGTGATGGAATCGATATCAAGCTCTTGTAAAATAGCGATGGCTCGTGAGCTATCTTTTATAATTAGCTTAGGCTCAAAGAAAGAATCTATCAGACAGGCATGCGTCACATGAAAGAACTGAAGTTATATCATGCTGTATCGCTGCAATTGTTGACATTATGTAATTGTACCAGAAGACGTCTCAAAGTTAAGGTTAGACCCAAGGGGCATCATTTCTCACATGAACTACAGAGCTACACGACGGAATTTGTGTTGATTAAACGACTAGAGCCCGACCTGATGACAACTACACATAAGCTACAGACGTAGATAAGATACTTGTTCTGACAGCATTGGTCAGTACGAAATGAGAGTGGGCGGTCATTGCCTGATTTATATGCTCACTCGAAAGCACACCATAGAAAAATCTTGGGGGACCGTTTCTTAGTCTGGGCCGCCTTGATATCTTTCATCTTCTCATTGTGATCGCAACAGGGCTGTTAGAGGAGCGAGACACGTAATGGTACACATCTGTCGCACCAATCCTTTCACTACTGGGCCACACCAGTCGGCCATATGACTCCATTTTTCAAACACCGTCAGTGATCAACATCGCCCGTTCACACGGCAGACTCCTCGGAGGTTACCTTTCGAGGAAGGCAGCGACATCTGTTAAGTTATTCGTGCATGAAAGTTTTCTCAAACTTATCATGCGCTGTCGGATACGAGGTTACCAGCAGTATCAATTCTTCCGTCTGACCACAACAGAACTTGGCTGTGTGCTTACTCTTGGTAGTCAGCTGAAATCACGAACTTGTTGGACCATTCAGAGGACTCAGAGACTCGTACTGTTGTCCTCCATGTTCAGCAATCATGTTTCTAACCTAGTATGGGTCGAGGCGACGACATGCATGCAACACCAAACAACTAACTGAGGTGCGTCCGCCCCTGCGTTTGGCTTCACCAAAGCACGACTGTTAATGATAGGCCACCCCGTTTGAAATCACTACGGCCGCTTGAATGGCAAGGAGTTGAAAATCGAGAGGGTCCGGAATACGATCAGACTTACCTTTCTGGTTCCCGTTGTCGATTGGCTCTAGAGCACGATATTAGCCGTTCAGAGAGCGTTGGGCAGCTTTTCATTGAGCAATTCATTTAAAACTTTTACTGAACGAAACCGGAGGAGAAAGCCCTGTGAGAGTCTCCAGACTCCTTCTCAGCTGGGCTCATAAACAAAGCCGTGGGGTCATCCTGCGACATTATCGGGGGCAGAGATGAGGCAATGCGGGATTTCTGCTATTGGCTGGAGGACCATTGGAAGCCTCACGATAGAGATCTTGGACAAGAAGCTGCTGAGCTGCTGCTATCTGAGCGACCTCGCAGCATTGCGAGGTGGCCTGACTGGGGATCCGTCTTTGAATCTCAGATCAGAATAGATTCCATGAGAGAGAGTAGGGTAAAGCTTGAGACATAAGAGCGAAAGCTCGAGACAATCTCAAGTAATAATTGGACTCGAAGCGAATAGTAACGTCTGCTGTGGTTCCTCTATCACAATTCGAGAATAATGGGAGTGACGACTTTGCTCAAGGATTATAAAATGACACGGATGATGCCGGTACTGGACGCTGACGTGGCAGGACGTGGACCATGTTCATGGTCGATGCTTGTAGAGAGATTGGTAGGGCAGGTACGAGATGGACGGAGCCTGAGAGGAGGTAGAAGTCAAAGATACATGTTCACAGGGTCGAAGGTGGTAGTTGCATTATATACAGATCGTCACGTGATGTACAATTGGGCTGATGGGCGGTGCGCCTAAACCAGAGACGGCAGCAGCATATCTGCAATTACAGAATGTTAGATAAAGGTAAATTATTACTCTATTACTCTATAAAGAATATTATCTATAATATAACTATAAAAACGTTATAATTTTAGCCTCTTTAAATGGTTTAGGTATTAGTCTATATATAATAATAGCTAAACTTTTTTATTATTAAAGCCTATTTTTATGCCTATTTATTTTATAAAACTGCTATAAGTAGCTAAGAATAATAGACCTTAAAGCTAATATATAAATTCTAAAAGAAACTTAATAAGGCTAAGATATCTTAAAGTAGTACTTAAAATATAATAGTAAGGGTTTTTAATAGGGAAACTAGTCTATATTAAGTTTATATTTATAGAATATATAAGCTACTTATATTAAGTATATTAAAAAGTATTACATCTCTTAATGATTAAATAATATATATAAGGCTTATTAATGTAAGAAAGTATTATTAATAGCTAGTAAATTAAGATCTATTTAGTGCTAAATAAATATATATATATATATATTATTAATAACTATATAGAAGCGATATAAAATAAGATTATTATTAGTTCTAAAATAATACAGTCTAAAAGTGCTATTATTTCTATTTTTATTAACCCTTACTTAATTAATTATTAATATAAAGTTTTTATATAATATGTATAATATAACTATTAAAGTTATAATATAAAGTATAAAGAGATTTAAATAATTAAATTAAACTTTTTAAGATAAAGTAAATATATTTTTAAAATTTATACCTTTTTATTCTATAATATAAATAGTATCTTTAGGCATAATCATATAACTGCAGGCTATTTCGTACAGGCATCGTGTCGGTGGCTATGATTGATGTCAGCAGCTGTAACTAACGGTCAGGTCAGGGAACGTACTTTATAATGGACTTGGCCTAGTGAAAAGGTCGATCTAAGATCTTTTAGGTATAGTGAAGGAAGAAGGCTAACACAGCTGCAGAGGGACCTGCAGGCAGTATTAATACTGCTTAGTTAAGGCAGTAATTACGTCACTAAGGCCGATAAACCTTATATAATTTTGACCTTTAAGATACAGGCCTACTATAGGGGCCTTATTATTTAAGCCTTAAGATAGAAAGTTAAAAGCTTAATAGCCTTATTAGGCTAATAGTAAGGAAAAAAGAAAATAAATAAATAAATAAATAAATAGTATCTTTAATTATAGCTTTTAATAGCCTTAAAAAAGTTATTATATACTATTAAATTATAAATTAAATATAAAGCTTAAAAAAGTACTTTAATTAATAAGAAAACTTAAAATATTATATTATAAATAGAAAACTTAAATTTATAGCCTAAAAGAAGTTATAATATATTAAATCCTAAAAGTATTTTATTTTAATTTAACTATAAGTTTTATAAATTAAGACTTAATAAAAAGAAAGAATATTTTATTAATATTACTTAAATATAATTATTTATTAATAATATTAAATAAAGTTACCTTAATATAAGTAAAGTTATTTTAATTTTATTAGTTATTAAGGGCTAAAAAGTAGTATTAAAATATTATTTTAAGTAAAATTTAGGTTAGGCTTAAAGAAGGCTTAACTTAAGGTAGTAACTACTTAAAATAGTAGGTAAGAGAGGAAATACTGTAAGTCGACATTTATATTATATATTAGCCTATTTTATGTAGTAAAGTATAAACTTTATGGTATGATGGTGCAGTTTCCAGTGAGTAGTGACTCGTGCTGAAACTTAAATTCTTCCATTCGAAAAACGCCTTTCCATTCATTCAGTGAGATACCTATTCTAATTCAGTCTTTAATTTCTGTTAACACCGTAAATTCAAAGGACCAAAGGTTCTCAAGGCACGACGACATCTTGTTGCTGACTTGAATGGGCGCTCTCCATGTCTTCGAACTGTTGCGATATAGGTTCTCGACCTAATATTTCACCCAAATGCCAACCATCTCCGTAAGGCGAGACTTCTACTGCAGTGTCTCTTAACCCTTGCCTCCTTCTTTTCATTCCATACTACTTCGCCGTGCTATACCCCGGCCTGCATTCACAAAGCCCTCACTTCAACCATGTCTTCTCCTATCGTGTGCTTTCCGCGGTTATCTTCGGTATAATGAACCACGATCGAGGGAGGCAATTTATGTATCGTATCATTAGGCAAGTGGCACACGTGAAGATCAGTGGCATGGGTGTTGCGGCGAGACAGTTTCATCATATCGCTTCCAACCTGGCCATCCTGGTCTACTCCCAGTCCACGACTGACTCGCGGTGGCAATCTTTTCCTCCCGCCCCTGCCAATCATCTATACCCAATCCGCCTTGTCTTCTCAAGATTGGTGGAAGAAAGTTTGATGCCTACAAAGTTCATTTCAAAAGTGCGGAGATGGCTAAATAAGATCTACCAGATATATCGCAAGGTGCCAGTTTTATGCAAAAGTGGGAGAATGCTTTTATTGGAATCGGATACTGAAGAAAGTATTGAATATTTTTAATTCATTTCTGTGAGTGCTCAGAAGTTTCTCCTGCTCTGCTGGCCTCGCTGGATGTAGTACTACTACTCATGCAAGACCAAATCCAGAGTCAACCACGCTATGCAAGTATACAAAATGGCCTGGCAATTCATCAAAGATGAAGCTGGTAGAGCCAGGACGTGACAGTTTCGATTCATGTCTTCACAAAGCCACTCGACTTTATCCAGCCAGTGCCGCAAATACCGAGTCATGTTTTTTGACTTCCTAATGATTCAAGTACAAGAAAGCAACCCACCTCCATGTTTGGGGTTCAATGCTACTCTACGGGGAGATGATAGCCGGACCCAGCATATCACTAATCAAGGTCTGTTATCGCCCAAGACACGAGTTCTATGACAGCAGAAAGTGTAGGCGCCTTTGCTAAGATATCCAGAGCCTTACCCATCACGCCATACGTGAAACTCGTTCTTGCAGGCATCGGGATATTTGCCGTATTTTGAAATGGCTGCGGAGAACGACTCAGTTCCCCGGTCATTGGTAGAACCTTATAGCTTTCCCGCCGGGAAGCATACCCGAACCCTGGTACCATTCTTCCAGGGACATGACTCGGGTATTTGAGTAATCAATTAATCGATGCGCAATTGCTTGCATCGAATTTGTTGGCGGGAGGCTTGATCAGATGAGCAGATAGATGAAAGGCCTAATGGGAGGCTAGGGGAGGAAAGAAAACTCAGGACCTTGATCCAAAATGGCAAAAAGACTTAGGTAGTTTTGTATAAATTTAGGACACCTTTACTAAGCTTAAAATATCTTTTTTGCCGGGTTTATTTTAATACCCTCCAGTAAAGTCAGGTATTTTCTTGCTCCCCGAGGGGGTGGATTGTCAAGGCAGTTGGATATACCACCTCAATCATCTTTCTCCTATCTTGATTAGCTGTGATTTTATGCGAGAGCCGCTTATCGCGCTTCTAGATCGAAGTTATTGGGTCGGCAGATAGGTGGGATAGCAATAGGATAATTAATCGACCAGAACGCGAGGCGGGGCCATAAGCCCTGGTCATTGAGGCTTGAGAAAGTCTAAGTCGAACGATACTTGCCAGGAGAGTCTTGCTATGCAACGTCGCAGGATCTTCACTTGAACTTAGTTCCAGTAGTATGCCACAGATGTATCAACAAATTTCCTCCGGCGTAGAGGTCGATGTGATCTGAGTCAACTCATGAGTGCACGTGCGGTGTTGCCAAGATTGAGGCTACGATGTGCCTTAGGCTTTCATGGGTCGGGCCGTAACTAGCGATTTCACACACGAGCTAGCTTCAAAATTATCTGCCTCAATGCTGATCGTTGGGGAGCCGGCTTGCTCTCCGGGTTATGAAGTCTTGAACTTCGCAGGGAGTAAGGATCTAAGTGCATCAACTTCATGCAACATGTAAGCAGACTGCAGTATTGTGAAGTTTCGTCTGGCGGATAACAATACCCGAACGGACACTAGGATATCTAAGAGATAGAATTTCTCAAATAGAGCTTCGGCACTTCATGAACACCCATGAAGGCATTCGCTGATCGAGCATAAATACGTGAAGCCGAACCCAAGTTTGAATCTGGATCATCATCTCCAATAAACACCACATCTTCAAAGCCTTCAAGCAATCAAGACCGGTGACCGCAGACACATATCATGAGTCTTGCACATTTCTATAAGTCTTCACTCGCAAGACCTTCCTTGCCTTCTCTAATCACTCATTCCATGATAACCCGCAAGATGGCCTCAGCTGCTGCTGCTGTTGCTCCCGCTCCTCAGCCTCACAGCCCTACCATCCTCAATGCATCCGGTCCTCCCCCTGGACACTCCGTCACAGCCGGGAACCTCCAGACCTTTATCCTGCCTGACAAAGTCTCCGACACCGAAGCAAACCGTAAGCTTGGCAAAGCTCTTGTCGAAGCCTGGCAGAAAGACGGTATATTGCAGATAAACATGACACCCGAGCAGCATTCACTTTACAAAAGTGCCAATTACGCTAGTAGACGCTTCTTTTCAAGCCTTATGCTCAAAAGGCTGCTTGCGTTGATAGTCAGACTTACTCTGGCTACATTGCCAGTGGTGAGGAGCTGACTGACGGCATTGCTGACTACAGCGAGATCTTTACTGTGACCAAAGATCTTGAACTTGATGAGCCGAGGGTCGTTGCGAAATGGCCGTGTCATGGTCGGTGCCCTTGGCCTGATTATGAGATGCAGAACCCCATGCATCGTTACATGCAGAGTCTGGGGGGCGTGGGAGAAACGCTCTTGCAGCTCACTGAACTGGGGCTTGGTGTACCTCAAGGGTCGCTTACCAACTACACCGAAGATGGGTGGCATCACCTGAGGATTCTCCGGTGAGTCAACACCAATTTACCTTATTAGAGTGAGTGCCACTAAATACAGGCATGGCAGCTTTCCTGCCATCAATAAAACTAATGGCAAGGGCAAAGAAGGAAGAGGCATTGGGTCTCACACTGACTACGGACTTCTTGTCATTGCGGCAGCTGATGATGTCGGAGGCAAGTACTCGACGCATTTCTCGCTGATATCTCGTGACTAACCTGTTGTAAAGCTTTGATGATCCGTCCCCCATATAGCGATGAAAAACTCGCAAACTGGGAATCCAGTGCCGCTGGCTTCAAGGAAGATGATGAAAGATGGATCTTCGTTCCTCCCGCGGAGAATGTCTTCACCGTCTTCCCAGGAAAGTTTACTCTCCGGCATAAACGAACTTTGCTAATCTTCTTTTGGTCTAGGTGACATGATGCAGTACATCACCAACTCAGCCCTTCCCTCAACCCCTCACAAAGTCGGGCTCAATCTCAGAGAGAGGTTCGCCTTTGCTTACTTCCATGAGCCAAGCTTCCAGGCAGTTGTGAAGCCTCTGCCCGGCTATGACGTTGGCCAGGAGCCAAAAGATGGAATTCACTATGGCAAGCACTTCACTAATATGTTTATGAGAAACTACCCTCAGCGTATTACTACACAGAGATTGAATGACGAGGGTCGCTATAGGCTTTTGGGGCAGGAGAGCCTTCAGACCATGGCTCCTTGAGGTCGGATTCAGATATTTAAAGTACATTAGCTATTATGGACTGGGCAGAAATGACACAACTGAGAGTCTTGATTACAAATTCAGGGTTTCGCCGTGAATTAATTCCCAGGTTGTCTTGGTAGGTTTTCTCGTGCTAGAATATTTACTCTCCATCACCCGCCACCCCAGTTGCATGATCCTTTACAACCTCTAATCCCAATAATCGGTGTCGTCGTTGTCATCTTCCTGTTCACGTTCGTCGCCAATTCCCCCATGGATCCTCCCCATATGAAGATAGCAGTCATCCCCGTCTGCAAAGGTCTTCAAGCAGAGCCAGCAAATATCCGTCCCACAGGCCGTGCAATAAACATGATTACAGCCTTCATCCTTCTGTAGGTGTGTGTTGCACTTCGGGCAGTCTTTGAACCCTAGCTCTTCCTTTGCTTTGAGAAGCTCTGCCATGCCGCCAGACTCGTTTCCCTTGTATTCTGCGCATGTCTTTCTCGGGTGCGAGACATGGCAGCTCGTGCAGGTTGTCGTCATGCATTTAGCACAGCTAAAGATTGGCGGGACGCTCGTTTCTGGTTGGGCGATGCGGTACACCTGGGTGCATTCGGGTGTCGGACAATAACGCAGCTGGTCTTGGTGTCGGCGCATAAAAGACATGAAAGAAGCCTCCAAGACACTTTCGAAAATCTCTGAAAGAAGTAGATTTTGGATCTCATATAGCGGAATGGCCTTCTTACAGTTTCCTTCGTCTCCAATGCATTTTATAGAGAAATCGCCGATCGTCGATGCTTCTACCAGACACATATTCACAAAGCAGATCGTGCAGTAGACATGGCCACAAGAAGTTGCGAGTGCTTGGTCGGCTTCGCAGAAACAGACTGAACAGTCGCCTTCGGCGGTCCTTTCTGTCCTTGATGGCTCACTTTTTTTTCCTTTGGATCGAGGCTGTAGTTCTTGCAAAAGCTGGTCAAGTGCTTCGCACGCCGGCACAAACTTGTCCTCCGGCCCGAAAACTCGAAACTTGGAAGATTTGATGTCGCGGATAATAACGACTCCAAGGTCTCGTTCAATCTCTTGAAGTCTTCTGTACGCTCCCCTATCGGCCTTGAAATCGGGAGACCATAGATTCTTGCCATTCAACGTCATTGTCGTTCCATTGATGGTCTGTTTCAGGGCCTCTTTTGCTTGGTTAAACAGTTCGCGATCTTGGCTCTCGAGCTTCAGGACTCTATGGCTGCGCTCAAGGACCGATGAAAAAGAAACAAATTGCCGTTCCCATTCTTTTCGCAGCGTCTCAATGCTATTTTCAACAACGCCATAGACGCGACTCGAAACCCTGAACTTCACCAGGTGAACGTGCTGAAGGTAGAGTTTTCCCGATGAGTTGAATGGCAAGCACGTCTCGTTCAACTGTGAGACAGCATCAAGCGCTTCGGATTCCTCGATAAATCGGGCCTGTGCCTTGACTCGTCTTGCCGTGGGCCTCCCAAACACTTCCCATTGTTCCAAGGCGCCTATATCATATAGTAAGGATTTTATGATAGTCGAATCAATTTCGGCGTCCGTATCGTAACTTGAGTCACCCATCTCAATCCCATACGGTCCTGCAGACGAGGGAAAGATACTCATGATATCCTCTAAGGGAATGGTGGCCACCAAACCTTCCAGCTCCATCTGCCATAGCCCATCTTTTTGCGTGGCATCCACTGCGGCGGGCATTTGGGCTGTGACTGGCAAGCCAGCGATTTTGAGTTGCTGATTCTTGAACTTGTAATACGCATCAAATGCTTCTTCTGGATTCCTGAACGAAAGAGTGGCGTTTTTAGTCGCCCTATGCCATGAACAGCGGACGTTTCTGCTGTCGACGAGGCCAAATGATGATCCGTCTGGTAACGGAACAGGAATTTGGGTGACTTCCAAGTCAGGCGCTCGAATACAGGTGCCAAGTTTCCAGCAGGCGGACTTTGCGAATTCTGGATCTTTGACCTTGACGATTGCCATTCCGTTCCGATTCTTCACCTGTTTGATGAAGTTGATGTCGCTTATGGATACGCTGATGCCTACATCCGCCAACAGCTTTTGCACCGACCGTGCTGACGACTTGGAGGGCAGATGGCGCATTTGGATGGCGGAAAAGTCCGAGAGAAGAGTGACGTTCGTGACAGCCGCTCCATCTCCAAATTCGACCGAGGCGCCTCCGATCTCGCGAGTCCACTGCTCAGAAACTAGACCATGCTTGGAAACATGATTAGTTTTCTGCTTTCTCGTATCAGTATGGTACAATAACCTACCTCGGATTCCTCCGACCACTCGGTGTTAGGTGTATCGTGAGCATATCTGCAGGTAGCTCCTCTCTTGCAGAAACCTTTGGCAAAGAAGCGACATGTCTCTTGAAGAGGTCGGGGTCCTTCATGAGAAAAGCGACAGGCTTCGCCGTGAGAGCATATACCCTGGGCGTAGTACCGACAAGGTTCTCTTTGACGACGGTCTGGTGGTCGAGTCCGGGTCACAGGGATATCGTGAGAAAAGGGACAGGCTGCGCCGCGGAAGCACGAAGCCTGCGCGAAGAATCTACAAGGCGGCCTGTCGCGATGCTCCGGGTGCCTCCGCTGACGGTTTCGTTCTCGAAATGCGTGTGCTATCGTTTGAGTCTCGTGGTCTAGCTGTTGGCGTAGTTGTTCGACCAAGAACGGATTCAACGGAACATCAGGTTCGGGGGCAGTGGGACGCTCGAAAGTGTTGCCCATGTTTGGAGATATGGATTGTTGTCGCGTCCAGAATTTCTCCGCTCAAATGAAAGTAGTCGTCGTCATTAAATAAGAAATTACGGTGGCGTTGCGGTGAAAGTTAATAGCAAATATTACACAAGACGATTCGGAGATACTGCGGCTAACGGAATGACTTGAGCTCAAGGTTTACACGGCATTTAATGATTCATCTTAAGTGGCGGATAAATGATTCGGAGCGAAGATAGAAGGTTTGATACTGGTGGCTGATATTGAGACTGTTCTGTTCGGACGATGCAGGAGGCCGAATGTTTCACTGAACGCGTGACGCGTGTTTGTGACACAATCAATGATCAAGGTTGATCTGCAAACTTTACCCCGCAGATAAGATGATGCAGCAACAACATGCACATGCGTGTTCATGGTGTTTCATGGTTGATGCCAACTCTGATGCAGCGTTTGGGCATGACTGCGGCAAAGAATTGGGTTATGCCACGCATTTGGATGAGGTGGCACTCGCAGAGTCGGCGCTGAGTGGTTAAAAGTGCCCAAGCTCAACAAGCCTAAAGGCGGTGAAGCCTTCGCCACATCATGTGTTGGCAGCTGGAAGTCGAGAGAATACTTGGGCTAAGCATAAATAACGCGGTCAGCAATCGGCAGAGGGTCTATGGTAGAGTGACGCCCTAATATTGTCCCAAAACTGATAGTCCCGGTTATTTTGCTCACCGCTCAATCCATGCTGGGTCAGCGGGTCTTGGTCCTCTCTGACTGGCTGTGTCCGGTCCAAAATTGGGGGCCTGGCATGTGCCTGACATATTTCTCGCTTAGGTAATGGTGATCCGGGCTCTTGGATAATTCTTAGCTTTGAATCTACCCGAGATACCTTTAAACCCGCGATCTGCAACGAACCAGTCAAGTCAAGTCAAGCAAGCTCGCTCACTGATCCGACTACTACTGTACCTGCACTAGCTACCTCTCTTCTCTCCTTTTCTGCCCTCCAAGGGACATCCTGGCCTCGCCTCGCTGACTGCGACCTCAGAGCCTCAACGGTCGCTCAGACCATACCCCAACAGCCCCGCACCTCGGCGCAGCAGAGCACAAGAAAGCAAAACACCACCTGGCAACATGGGCTCCAAGAAGCGCAGTTCGGCCTCCGGTGAGACTGGGAACGCCACTGATGCTTCTTCCTCTCGCAGCGGCCAACCATCCCGCAGCCTCAGAAGGAGAGCCGGCGACATCGTGAACAGCCTCAATCCGGTGGGCGCTGGCAAGGGCCCTGATGTGATGCAGCAGCTCGCTGAGATTCCCTTCAACGCCGAGGCCTTCCTCCAGGCGAAAGCTGCTCAGGCCAAAGCGCTGGATGCCGAGGCCAGTGAGACCGGTGAGGGCGAGGATGTCGTCGAGGTTGAGTATGAGGGGACTCGTCCGTACGTTCCGACGGTTCACGCTCATCTCAAGGGCGTCGACAAGGTTTGCCGAAACGGGGAATGGTCGAAACCACTTCAGCGATTCTTGACGAGACTTCAACTCGGCTCAAACAATCTCAGCGTCATTTATGACTCAGCCCTTGAAAATGTGGGGATTGAACCTCCCGAGGAGACCGAGTCCTGGGTCGAACAGAGTGAGCCTTCCAAATTCGCAGGCCACGTCTACAGATTCCTCGGCCGTCAGTGCCGATCAGCCTCTTCAGATCGCCATCTCTATGTCCTCTATCACCCCGATGCCGAATGGCATACCGACTTCTACGAACTTCTGCAGGACAAGCCTCTGCCTAGCAACTTCCTCGGCTTC